AATACAGTTTTGTTTTGTTTTTCCTTACCCTTGTATACATACTTACTCTTGAGAGTTGCAGAAAGGTTGCTTGGTCACTAAGAATTGAGGATTGTGCTTGCGTAAAGTGCTGCTTAGCTTTTATCAATTCAGTGTTCTTTTTTTTAAAAATTAGTATACATGTTAGTTCATATGCTTTTATGTGCAGATACACACAGTGTATTTATAACCTAAAACTTTCTGTTGAACATTTGTACAAATCAACAAATTGTGTTTATTATGCCTTATTCAATTTAATTCAAAATGTTGATGGCTTTATTTCACTGTTGCTTGGATAAACGTATAAGCTTGTAATTTTCAAATATGTAGTTGAGTTCTGCATAAAATTCCTTCCGTGGTTTGAAAATTCCACTTCCGATAATGCCAGCATATGAATTCATGAGGGATTAATCTCTTCATTAGATCAGAGCCTTCATGATCTAATATTTCTGGAAATATAGACACACGTAGAGCTGGGTTTTACTAATTCCCTAGGCTTTTCTTAATCTAGTGAAGTTGACAATCAAAATTAACCATCACAGGCTCAAGGTTTATTTTACCTAGTCTTATGTCTGTGTAGATCATTTATTTCTTAATGATGAAGTATAAATACAAATTCCAGACCCAGTTCAGCATTGGTAGTACATGTCTCCAGTACTAGTAATCACAGATTGGAGGCCAACCTGGGTTACCTAGCAAGACCTTGTCCCTCCCACAAAACTTCTAGAACCAGGAATTATTTTGTATTATTAGTCCCTATGCCTCATTGGATAGAAAATTCGAAATGTTTTAGGGTTTTTTTGAATAATTTAGTTTTCGATATTTTTATAGTTGCATTTTTTTCTTGTTAAAAACTTTTATTTTTATTGCTGAGGATTGACCTTGGGCATGCTTGGCAAGGAATCTGCCTCTGAGTTATATTCCTAGCCTAGTGCTATACTTTTAACTATATACATTGAATAGAAACTACTTTAAAATTTAATTTCAAAGATGAAAACAAAACTAATTGATATTTTAATTAAGTATTAGAATTGTGTTTTCCGTCTTGTCTTCCTGGTCATAAAACTATATTTCACTTAACAGTTTTAATAATATATTAATAATAGCATGCTTATTGTCTTAGTATGATAGGTGATGATGAAGATGCCTATAGTGATTCGGAAGCCAGTGAAGCCATGACTCCAGATATCTTAGCTAAGAAGTAAGTACTAAAGCATTTTCTCATAGGAAGATTTTAATTGTGCAAAGTAAGACATTTTGTATTACTCTGCTTGTACAGTTGTAAATGAAAGCTGACCTTAATAGATTAGGGGAGTGCTGACAGTTGAACCCAGGGTTGCATGGTAAATAACTTGCTTTACCACTAGATCTCCTGCCCCTAACTAGATTTTTCATAACAACTGTTAGTCTTCTTTCTTGATTAATATCAAGCTAAGCAGGGGGTGGGAAGATAAGAGTACCTGAGCCTGGACTTCTGAGGTATGCTTTACTCTATGTGATAATTGTTCTTGTTGTAAAATGTCTTGCCACCTACACTGTAAAGATGTGAAAAATGCAAAAATAAGTTAATTCATAAAACAAAATTCTCTTTTGATGCTCATTGATTTCTAGCACCCATTCTGCTATCCTTATTGCTTATTGATCTCTATACCATTCCTACTTTTTTGCTATTGTTCTTCAAGTCATAGTTAGTATATTGGCAATCTTTAGGTGTTTCCATAAGACTTGGGTTGAATGAGAATTTAAATTTTAGAAGCCTTTCACAGTTACTGATTTCTTCATACATGATTGTTATATAGATTAGCTGCTGCTGAAGGCTCGGAGCCAAAGTATCGAATTCGGGAACAAGAAAGCAGTGGAGAGGAAGATAATGACCTCTCACCTGAAGAGCAGGGTAATTTATTTCTTTTATAGCTTTCAGCAGGATGCCGATAGTTTCTGTTAAATCCATTATTTGAATGATTTGGAAATGACTTTCAGTGTGGCGAGGTAGAGGGCAGGAAAATAGAAAATACAGATTAGAGTTTCATCCATGTTGTACTTGTGTGAATTTTTTTATGTAAAAATATTTTCCCTTGACTTTAAGAATTTGGGAGAAATATTGTTATCTTTCAGTATTTGGCAAATATTTCTTTCTTTGTACTTTTTACTGCCTGATACAAAGTAGCTATTTAGTAAATATTAAATTAATATGCTTAGAGTTATTGAGTATTTGAGTGAGTGGATAAATAGTAACACTAATCGCTTTATTGCTTATGCTTTTTTCTTTTAAGATAGTGATAGAGGCCTGGGGATGTAGTTCAGTTGGTAGAGAGCTTGCTTGGCATGCACAGAGCCCCGAGTTTGAGCTCCAGTATCACATAAACCTCAGGTGGTAGTACATGCCTGTAATTCCAACACAAGGGAGGTGAAGGCAGGAAGATCAGAAGGTTAGAAATCTTCTTGGCTGCACGCATAGTAAATTCAAGGTCAGTCTGAGCTACATAGGACCCTGTTAGAAGGGAAAAAAGTGAAGTTCATCAAATGAACCAAGATGATGAGTGAAAATCTTTATAGGTCCCATGGAACAAAGAGTGGTAGTGTCTTGAAAGAAATAGAGATACCCTCCTAGCAGGGTAGAAGAGACTCTTGTCTCTTGTATACATAGTCCATATACAGAAGTTAGGGCATTACCACCTATTCATGGTTTGTGTTTACAAATTTGGAGGTGGATCAAGAAGGAATATATTTTACCTAGTTGCTTTTCATACTTTTTGAGCCATGTAAATGAATTATCTTAAGAATTCTCAATCAGACTGGAGAGATGGCTGCATTTAAGAATGCATACTGCTCTTCTAGAAGGCCTGAGTTCAGATCCCAGCACCCACATCAGGTGGCTCTCAGCTGCTTGTAACTCCAGCTCCAGGGCATCTGATACCTGCTTCTGATCTCCACAAGCATCTGTGTTCAGGTGCACATATGCACACACAGGCACACATACTTATAATTTAAAAAATAAGATAAATCTTTTTTTTTTGTTTTTGTCTTTTTGAAACAGGGTCTCCCTGTAGCCCCAGCTGTCCTAGAACTCACTATGTAGACCAGGCTGGCCTCAAGCTCTACAGCTTCTGTCTCCCAAGCTCTGGGATGACAGGCAGGTGACACTACACCTGGGTCCAGGAATCTTACCATCCATGGAAGATCAAGCAGGAGATGAGGTTGACACCATGCCCAGATAGCCTATCTCCTTCTCATTTCCGGGCTGCTGTGAGACTTGTTCCATGGGAGACTTTGTATAAAAAAAAAGCCTCTATTCACCTTACATCTCCCCTCATCTTCTCAAGTCTTGCCATTCCTCCTTCAAAAGCTGAAAACACTTGTTCTTGTAGCTCAGGATGCTGTCACTCATATAACCGTTCTTGGAGTAGGTAATTAAGTGTGGGGTTTCGCCTGTTCCTCTGCTTCATGTCAATTTAATGTTTAACCCACCAAGGAACCTAGAAGGGGAGGGAAGCCATTTTTGCTCACCTACTCCACCTCAGCTGCTCTCTGACTTCCCCCATCCTACCTTCCCCTGCTTAAAATACTGACAATTCCTTCTGTTTTCAACTGTGCAGGCTGAAAAGCAAAACTAAAACTAAAACAGTCACTTCCCACTGTGCTTAAAATAACATCTCTATCCTGGCCTACAAGCCACGCTGACCTGGCTTGTTTGTGATCCCCAGTCTATCTCCACAACTCTTTCCTTCACTCCTCTGGCTACATGGCGATCTCTTCTCCTGGCTACTGCTCACCAACCTCCATGTTCCCTCCTCTACCTGCTATCTCCTTGTTCCGTTACGTGTTTATCGCCAGTCTTCTCTCTCTCAAACACAAACTGCTTGAGATCAGGCACCTCCTCTGACTCATTCCTGACTATGACCCCTCAAATGGAGGCATATTACAAGCCCCCATTTATGTACCATTGGACAAATGAAAGAATACACTGATCTTTCATACGCCAGGCTGCCGGGCCCTGTTCCAAGTACTTTACCTGTGTCATCTGATTGAATCTTGCAGAAAGAAACTGTTGCTTATATGTAGCCTGGCCAGGGCCACACAGCTAGAAGGCTTGGATTCACACCAGCCTGCCCCTCCAAGACCACATGAGCAGTTACAGTGGGGAGCTGATTTCCATAGTGAACCCTCACATTGCATGCATGAATGAATGAGTAGGCAGATTATAAACACCTGCACTGCACAGCATGCTGCAATGACCAACACTCCTAGCTCTAAGCAGCTCCATGCTATCTTGTGGGGTCTGCTTTTGGCATGGGGAAAGGTGGGACACCCACTGAAGCAGCACTGTGCTGTTCCTGGTTATCTGCTCTGCCCAGTGCTCCCAGCACCACCAGCCCAGACTCAGGGGGTGGGGAGAGGCAGAGTTGGGGGAGACCCCAGGGACCATCATATCCTGGTAGCTGATGCGCCACCACGCCCAGCTGATAAGTCTTTTTTTTTTTAAATATTTTTATTTTTTTGTGTGTGTGAGTATATTGCTTGGTGTAAGTGCACTCATGTCATGTAGTGATCATAGAGGTCAAAAGACAGTGTCAGATCCCCTGGAACTGGAGTTATGGATGGTTGTTAGCCACCATATGGGTGCTAGGAATTGAACCCAGGTCCTCTGCCAGAGCAGTCAGTGCTCTTAGACCACTGAGCCATCTCTCTAGCCCCAAGATAAATTTTTTAAAAAAAAATTTTTAAATATTCAGTTGGCCCTCTGTATCTGTTAACCACCTGCAGATTCAACCAACCATAATCAGAAATATTTGAGGAAAAAAAAATGAGCCCCGCTTGAACAAGTATAGACATTTTTTTCTTGTCATTATTCCCTAGCAATATAGCATAGCAGCTATTTACACAGCATTTAAGTTGTACTAGACATTGTAAGTAACCTAGAGATGACTTAAAGAATAAACCATGTGCGAAGATTATGTACAAATAACAGTATTTTGTATGAGATTTGAGCATCCGTAGATTTTGGTGTCCTTAGGGATCCTGGAACCAACCCACCACATACCAAGAGACAACTATATTTAGAGAGTTTTTCTTTTTCCATTTCTTTTAAAAGAAAACAAACAAAAAAAGGCTCAGTGGTAAGAACACCTGTATAGCATGTGTGAAGCCCTGAGTTTGAGCTCCAACACCTTTTTAGCAAAAGGAAAAACCAAGCTTTTATGGGAAAAGATGCAAGAAAAACAATACACACATATTCTCAAAGTACTTAAAGCTAGACTGGCAAGGTAGCCCAGAATAAAGATATGTGCTGCCCAGCCTAGTGACCTGAGCTCACTATCCAGAACCCACATGGTGGAAGGAGAAAACTGACTCCCCTAAGTGATTTTCTGACCTCCCCATGTGTGCTGTGCGATAGCACACATGCATGAGTTCCCCCACAGTAAATGGATGCAGTAAGAAAAAAAAATTGAAAGCTTTGTAATGTGATTACCTGCACCTTAAAGACATCCAGAAACTTGAAAACGAAGACTTAGGTGTAGTTCCATGTAGTTTAATTAGCTGTAAAATCTTTGTCATGTTTTGGTATAGTGTTTCAATTTAGTGTTCTTTCCTATCTTCAGAATATACCGTTTGTCAGAACTTTGACCTGTGTCCATTTTTTTATTTTATTTTATTTTTTGTCTTTTTGAGACAGGGTCTCCCTGTAGCCCCAGCTGTCCTGGAACTCACTATGTACACTAGGCTGGCCTCGAACTCACAAAGATCCACCTGCCTCTGCCTCCCAAGTGCTGGGATTAAAGGCATGCGCCACCATGCCTGGCATTTTATTTTTATTTTATGTGTATGAGTGTATTTATTGCCTACATGTATCTAAGTGCACCCATGTCCTACAGTGTCTGCAGAGGACAGAAGAGGGTGTCGGATCCCTTGGAACTGGAGTTACAGACAGTTGTTAGCCGCCATGTGGGTGCTGGGAATCAAACCCAGATCCTCTGCAAGAGCAGCCAGTGCTTATAACCAGTGAGCCATCTCCCCAGCCCTAGTAGTACATTCTTAAATTGTGTTCTCTTTTCTACTTGTGATTTCCTGACTTATTTTTCCAGAATATATCCAGAGAGACTCTTGACGAATGTTTCAAGTAGAAATTGTTTCTAGGTTTTTACCATTACTCTCCAAAAACTTGGGGTGGAGAATTTATTAACATTATTATCAGTTCTCATTAAGAGGTTAGGTGTCAGTTTGTAGTTCCATGAGTCAACTTGCAGGGAGAACCATTTGATCAATTATTAATATAATTTCATTCAATGGATTTCCACTGGTAGAATTACTAAATGATATAGGTGTTTTTGACTTTAAATAATTACAAATCTGGAAGAAAATTAAAGAGGTTCTTTTTGCTTTTGTTTTGATTTTTTTTTTTTTTTTGAGATAGGGTATCCCTATAGCCCCAACTGGCCTGGGATTCAACTATGTAAACCAGGCTCCTGAATGACTGTCCCTGAATGCTGGGATTAAAGGTGTACACTACCACATCTGGCTCTGATTGTTTTTCTGAGATGGAGTCTCTGTATAGGTTGGCTTTGTAGTCGTCCCTCTGCCTGGGCTTTGTAGGTACTGGGTTTATAGCTGGCAGGAGATATTCTTTTTTTATTATTCTTGTTTGTTTGTTTTTTGAGACAGTGTCTCATTATGTAGCCCTGGCTGACCTTTAACTCACTCTGTAGACTAGGGTGGATTTGAATTCATAGAGATTTGCCTGCCTCTGCCCTCCTGAGTGCTAGAGTTAAAGGCATACACCACCATGCCTTGCCTATTATTATTATTACTATTTTAAAGTGTTTATTTTGTGTGTATATGTGCACACAAACACCAAAGAACACGTGTGGATATCAGAAGACAACTCATGGGAATCAGTTCTCTCCTTCCTCCATGTGGATTCCAGGAATCAGATTCAGGTCCTCACGCTTGGTGGCAAGCACCTTTACTTGCTGAGCCATATGCCAGCCTAGATTTTAAGAAAAAAAAATATCTAATAATTTGTAGAACAGTGATAAAAAATCTTAGCCATGGAGTCTAACAAACATAAATTTATATTCCAGGTGTGCTACTTGTTTAATTTACCTAATTTATCAGAACCTCAGATTCCTATTTCCTAAATTGGGAAATATTAAAAAAATTTAGATCTGTTTGGTAATACATACCTATAGTACCAGCTACTCAAGAGGCTGAAACAGGAAGATCTCTTGAGCCTTCAATCTGGATGGTTTAGTGAAATCCCTATCTTAACCAAATAGACTTTAAGCTGTTGGTGACTGTTTATGAGATATTTAAAGCACTTAGCATTGGTCGTGCTATATTCTAGTTACTCAGTAAATATTAATAACAAAATAATTAGGATATTCTCCATTAGTCTATATAAAAAGGATATTCAGGCTGGCAAGATGGCTCAGCAGTTAAGAGTACTGGCTGATCTTGCAGAGGACCCAGGTTCGATTCCCAGCACCCACGAGGCATGAGGCAGCTAACAACTATCCATAACTCCATTTCCAATGGATCCAATGCCCTCTTCTGACCTCTTTGGGTGTTGCACAACACAGGTGTACTTACACACAATGCAGGCAGTATACTTATAAAATAAAAAAAAATTTTTTTTTTAAAAGATACTCTAATTGTTGATTTCATAGAGTTTGTGACACTTAAATGTGATTTTATTCTTTGAGTTATACTGCTCTGCCGCATATGTAGACTTAGAAAGTAAGAACTAATAATCAAAAGAAAATTGAGGGGCTGGGAATGTGAATCTGTTGCATGCAAGAAACCCTAGATTCAATCCCCAGCACTACATAAACCAGACATGGTGGTACATGCCTATAAAAAATCCAATACTAGGAACGTGGAAGGAGGAGATCAGAAGGTCAAGGATATCTTTGCCTATATAATGAATTCAAGGCCAGCTTGGGATACATGAAAACCTGTCTTAAACAAACAAACAAAAAGATTAAGATCACTTAATATTAGCTTTCTGTGAAGCGAATTTTTACATACTGTGTTCGTGTTTGTATGTGGGCACTCTTGAACGTGAACACATGTGGGAATGTCATTTCCAAGGAGTTTCTCACTTTATTTTTTGAGACAGGGTCTTTTATTTGGCCTGGGGCTCACTGATTAGGCTAGTCTGGATGACCAGCAAGCTCCATTTCTGCCTTTCACTGCCTCCCCACAAGTGTATGCCACCATGCCTATCTTTTTATGTGGGTGCTGGGAATTAGCCCCATACTTGTGTGGCAAGCATTTTACCTATTGAACTATCTTTCTAGCTTCTATTTTACAGATTTTTAAGTGCCATGACTCAAAAAATAAACTTCTTTGTATGTTGAGGGGAGGGCAGTGAAAATGTGATACCTCTCTTATCTTTTATTGCAACATAGATTAAAGAATGACAGACTAAGGGTATAGCCCTATGATAGGAGTGTTGAACCTTATATATAAGCTCAAGGTTGGATCACTGACACCACAAAAAAGGGGAGAAGGTATCTTTTTTTAGTGTAAATATGGGGTAATGGGCTACTCATATTGTATTAGTAGGTATGAAACTGTTCCAAGCATTTAAAATTGTTTACGAATTCATAGTATGTGTGGACATTTAAATAACAAAGGTAAACATTTCACCAAATATTGCTCATCTTTAGTGTTATATGATCATTACAATGTATACTATTTATTTCATCCTTTTAATTGTATTTGTTACTTACTGAAGAATAAGTGTGCCATTTGGAAAACACTGGTTTATATTGAAGCAGTGTTAATAAAGCAAATACAGAAAACTGGATGTGTCTGTGGATAAAGTATATTATAAGGATATTGGAAAGATAGGGAGCAATCAGAAGGCTTTGTTGAGAATAAGTAATGAAATTATATCTCACTTCCTTGAAACTGTTTAAACATAAATCTGCTATGGACAATCTGATTGTTTACTGTGTTTATATACTTTATCACTTAAATAGGATCGTTTTGAAATTTGAAAGGTTCTGTCCGACCATAGGTATAATCTGAGACTGCTCTGAATAAACTCAGATATGTAATCTTAACAGTATAGTAAGTGAAAAAGTCTATACCTTAATATATGATTCATTTTTGTAAAATACATTTTTAAGAAAAAGTTCAGTTACATAGTTTTGTTAGTGATTTCTGGGTTGTTTTGCTTGTTTTGCTGTGGTGTTGAAGATTGAACAGAGAGTTTCATGCATACTAGGCAAGGGGTCTGCCACTGAGCATACCTCCAGCTCCCATTTCTGGGTGAGGAAACTAAAAGTGATTTTTTTTAAGTTTTTATTATGAATGTGGTTAATAAGTAAAGGTATTGATAGATTTTAGTTTTGCTTTTGTATCATTTGAATATTTCAAAGATGTCATTGAACATGTAGTCATAGCTGCCCATCATGATGCATGCCTGCATACCTAGCTACTGAGAAGGCTGAGAAATAGGGCCATTGAGCCCATGAGATCAAGACCATCCTGAGCAACATGACAAGATAGCCCCCAACTCAATAACAAAAACATTTCATGATGAGGATTTGGTCTCTCTGTTTGGATCTATGATATGGCACCATCAAAACAAGTCACAAAGGTATTTTATAAGCAGAGGAGAGAGCTAGCAAAATCTTAGTAATTTGAAACAAATTGTCTAGAACTTGCCCTCTCAAGCTAAATAGAGGCTGAAAAGTGATTGATAGGTAGGGACATGAACTTTTGTTTTTTTGAGACAGTATCTTCTTGTGGCCCAGCTGACCTGGAACTCCATCTCACACAGAGATCTGCTGCCTCTGCTTCCTGAGTGCTGGGATTAGAGGTGTGGGCCACCATGCCCAGTGACATGAACATGTTTAAAAATATAAATGATAACAAACAGGAGCTGAGAGTACATTAGGAAGAGCTTTGTATATCCTTATTTGGAGTGATAGCTATGCTGTTTTGAGATTAAAATGAAATCATTAATAAAGCAGTAGTAATGGAATTTTAATCCTCTTCATTGACTGTGTGTGTGTGTGTGTGTGTGTGTGTGTGTGTGTGTGTGTGTGTGTGTGTGTATGGTGGGGGTGGCCAGAAGGCATCAAATGTCACTCTCTATTCCTTCGAGGTAGGATCTCCCCACATCGGAGGCTCGTGTTTTTTCAGCTAGGCTGAAAACTAGCAAATTATCCTATCTGCACCCTTCTCAGAGCTAGGGTTACTGGTGTTCACAGGGTGCCTGGCTTGTTACATGGATGTTGAGATTTGAACTCTAATTCTCATGATTGAGCAGCAAGCACACTTAACTGCTGAGCCATCTTTCTAGCTCCCAGTTGACAATTTTATACTGTTTCTTTTTGTTATCTTCTAACATTCTAAGAAATTTTAAAATCTTAGAATTGTTTCTTCATGAACACTTGTTCTATAAAGCTCTGTTAGTAAAATGTGGCAATTGTGTTGAATTTCCACTAATTACAAGGATTTTTTAAAGGAATTTTTTTTTCTTAGTGAAAGTAAAAATCAATCAGGTGTGGTGGTGCATTTCTCTTCTGTTTTTGTTCAGAGTAGTTTTATTTGTGTTTTATTCTCTGCATGCGTACCTAGTGCTATGTATGCCATGGCACATGAGTGGAGGTCAAAGGACAACCTGCAGGAGTTGGTTCTTTCCTTTCACCTGTGGATTCTGCTGAGCCGTCTTGCTGACCTTGATGCATGACTGTACTATCAACATTTGGGAGGCTGAGGCAAAAGGATTAAGAGTTCTAGCCAGCCTGGGCTGCATAGAGAAACCCAGGGGTAAGGGTGGGAAATCATGAAAATGAACATACTAAAATTATTCACAGCTCCTTGACCCATAATTAAGCACTGTTAATTGTTGAATACTATGTTTAATGTGTGTGTGTGTGTGTGCGCGCATGCATGCGCACAGGCATTGTATTTTTTTTTTTTTTGGTCTTTTTTGAGACAGGGTCTCCCTGTAGCCGCAGCTGGCCTGGATTTGCTATGGAGACCAGGCTGGCCTCAAACTCACAGAGATCTGCCTGCCTCTGCCTCCTGAGTGCTGGGACTAAAGGCGTGTGCCACCATGCCCGGCATACTTTTTTTTTTTTTTAATTTATTTTTATGTGTCTGTGTGTATTGCCTTCATATATGTAAATACATCCATGTCATGCAGTGCCCGAGGAGGACAGAAGATAATCTTAGAAAAGGGTGTCAGATCCCCTGGAACTGGAGTTATGGACAGTTGTACCTGCCATGTGGATGCTGGGATTCAAACCCAGGTCTTCTGCAAGAAGAGCCAGTGTTCTTAACAGCTGAGCCATCTCTCCAGTTCCGTCTCGTGCATTCTTAACATACACTATTATAGTTTGTTTTTTCCCCCATTCAACTCTTGCTGGAGAGTTTTCTGGTGTCTTTAAATTTCTGCAAATAAAATTTCTAATGGCTCTGACAATTCCTGTTCTTCCATTGAGGTGTATACTTGAACCATTTAAAGAAAGCAGAACTGGGAAATTTTCTATAAAATAAGTATTTCCGATTTTGTGAGCAGTATGGTTTTTATTACAAACTATCTGACTCTGCCATTGAACATAAAAGTAGTCTTAAATGTTCAAAAGCAAATTAAAGTGACTATGTTCCCATAAAACTTGATTTACAGAACAGGTATGGACCAATACGCAGTTAAGCTTAACAATATTTTAATCTTCTAGAAAAGAAGCGACAATTTGAAATGAAAAGGAAGCTTCACTACAACGAAGGACTGAATATTAAACTAGCTAGACAATTAATTTCAAAAGATCTACATGATGATGAGGAAGATGAAGAAATGTTAGAGACTGCAGATGGAGACGGCATGAATATTGAAGAATCAAATCAAGGTCAGATGTTTTAAAAATATCACTCAGAGCCAGGCCTGGTGGCACACACCTTTAATCCCAGCACTCGGGAGGCAGAGGCAGGCAGATCTCTGTGAGTTCAAGGCCAGCCTGGTCTACGTAGTGAGTTCCAGGACAGCTGGTGCTACAGGGAGACCCTGTCTCAAAAAGACCAAAAAAGAAAAAAGTAAATCACTGAGACCTGTAATTCTCTGTGCTCAAGAAAAACACACTTTATTTTGCTTTAAATTTGGGGCAAAATTCCTCAGAAAATTTTGCTGATTATACTTTATTATGCCAGTATTTCTACAATTAATTCAGTTCCTGTAACCAAATTTCAAAATTTCATATCTAAAATTCACATTATATTATATGGCTATTTTTTCTTATGGTTTGCTAGGCCTTAAGTAAGAATATTTGTTTTGACTATATGTGGTTATATTTTATTTAACAAGAAAAATGTAAATTAAAACTTTTTACCTGGTCTTAGTTTTATTGTTACTTATTTTACAGTGTTGAAGATTGAACCTAGGGCCTCAAACATACTTTAAAACTTTTAAAGAAACGTGGGATTTTTATTGTTCTGAAGGGTTATTAATGAGTATTTTGGTTTTTTTGTTGCTGCTCTTTGTGAGACAGGGTCTTATACTGTAGCCCAGACTGGCCTTGAACTTATAGCAATCTTCTTGCTTCAGCCTTCCGAGTGCTGGGATTACAAGCCTTTAACTATCATGTCTAGCTAAAGAAATACATTTTTAGCCAGGTATGATGGAGCATACCTTTAATCCCAGCCTTGGGAGGCAAAGGCAGGCAGATCTCTGTAAGATCAGGTCAGCCTGGTCTACGTATCAAGTTCCAGGCCAGCTGAAGCTACAGGGAAGCCCCATCTCAAACAAAACAACAACAAAATTAAAAAACAAAAAACAACGCACATTTTTAATACGGAAGATTTGTTTTCACATCCTTTTAGGTACAAAAAGTATATCATATCTTTCCAGTGTTATATATTTACTACATTGACTAGTTATTTTGATTTCCTTTTTTGTTTCGTTTTTTTAATTGATACAGAGCTAGATATGTAGCCCATGATGGATTCAAACTCAAAATCTGCCTGCCTAAGCCTCCCAAGTGCTGAGTTTATAGGTATGTACCAGCATACCTCGCCAGCCTGCCTTCTTTCTTTTCTTTCCCTCCCTCCCTCCCTCCCTCCCTCCCTCTTCTCTCTTTTTTTGTGTCTTACACAGCTGCTCCCTACAGTCTAGCAATTCTTATCAGTCACAGGAAATATTTTATCATCTTATAGGAGGGCCAGTTATGGTGGTACATACCTGTAGTCCAGCGCTGATCTTCTCAAGGAGGATTGCCTTGAGTTCAAGCCAGCCTGGGCTACAGATAGCAAGACCTTGTTTCAAAAAAACGGTGGTTCACCATACCTTTAATCTGAGCAGAGGCAGGTGGATCTCTGTGAGTTTGAGGCCAGCCTGGTTTGTATAGTGAGTTCTAGGCCATATGGGACTACAGCGAGACCGTGTCTCAAAAAGACAAAAAAAAAAAGAGGTGGTTGATGTGCTCCCCTAGTGAAGATTTTTGTGTGTGTGTAGTCACTACCCATATTTTATACTTGTAGACTGATGCTTTTTTTGTGTGTGGTGGTAGTGTAGTTTATTTGTGGTGCCTAAACTGGTTAAATAGTTACTATGTTTTTGTTTTGGTGAGCATGCTATAAAATGTAATTTTGTGATATGAACTGGTGAATTACTATCTCATTATAGTGTTATTCCTTATTATGCTGTAGACTTTCAGTCTGATTCATATAATTTTATTTACATTGGGTACACCATAGTCTGGCTTGTATTTAACTTGAACAAACTTCATTGTCGTAATTGTTAAATAGCTCTCTTCCTTTTTAAAAAAATATATTTTCCATTTTTTTATTGTCTGTCTTAAAAGCCTTGAGGGGAGGGAGGGTCTTTGTTTCCTATTTTACCTATGTCTTGATGGTGTTTTGTTTTATGTGGTCAAGTAACCTCTTAACTTCACTCAGACTTTGACTTTTCACTGTCAGCTTTTAGTACGTATGGTAAAACGGGAATACAACACAATGACAAAGAATAAAGGAAAATCAATCTTGCTCTCTCGCTCTCCCTAACTCTCTCCTCTCTCTTTCTCTTTCTCTTTTTCTTTCTCTCCCTCCCTCTCTCCCTTTCTCCCTCTTCCTCCCTCCCTCCCTTACACACACACACACACACACACACACACACACCCATAGTTTCTTTCAAAAATGTACTCTTTATTTAGCTTTTGAAAATTTCATGTATATATATACACACTGTATTTTAATCATATCCAACTCCCACTTCTCCCTCCAACTCTCCCCAGCCCACTTCCCACCACATCCCCCTCCCAGTTTCATGTCCTCTTTTTTTAACCCAGAGTCCAGCTAGTACTCTCTGTAGGACCATCTACTGGAGCATTGGCAACCTTCCAGGGTTTGCATCTCTGAAAAAAATGGAGTCTTCCCTCCTCCAGCAGCCATCAACTACCAGTAGCTCTTCTGTTAGAGGTGGTGGGGTCTTGTGAATCTCTCCCTGATCCATATTGGAATTTTGACTGGCTTGATCTTGTGTAGGAAACCGCAGCTGCTTGAGTTCATGAGTGTAACTGCCTTGTCATATCCAGAAGACATTTCACAGCAGTCCTCTCCTGTGTCTTAAAGTCTTCTTCAGTGTGCCCTGAGCCTTGGGGTGGAGGGAGTAGGATATAGATGTCCTAGTTAGAACTGAGCACTCCACAGTCACACAATTCTCTGTACGGTGACCAGTTGTGAGTCTCTTCGTTAACCACCATCCCCTGCCAAAAGCTTCTCTAAATGAGGGTTGAGAGCTGCACTAAACTGTGTCTAATAGCTTTAGAAAAAATAATTGGCCTTTTGTTTGTCTCTGCCCTTAGGACATTACATTCCATAAATTATGTATAGGTCTGTTTTCCTGGGTAAGTATAATAGAGCATTAAAATCTGTATTCGCTCGGTCCCTGAGTTCTCTGAGTGATTAAAGTGGCCTTTACACAGCCTGCTTATAGCATCAGAGAGCACATGGATGGAAAAACAACACAATAAATCCTCCTTAGGGAAGTAAAGCTTCTTATTTATCCCTACTCTTTTTGAGTCCTTACATTTTTTTTTTTTAACCAACTTTGAATATTTCCAGGTTCTGTAGCATCTGTTACTTTCGGAACTTTGGTAGGTTTGCCTCTTTCTCCTTTTTCCCTCATCCTGTTTCATTTCTGTTTTCATAGAGAAAAGTGTTCAGACTCTAAAGTGTAATACTTTGTAGTTTTCAGGTAATACAGTTTTTTTTCTTTAGTTTCAGATAGATGGCATTGAAATAAGTGCTTAACTTTCCACCTGCGATTTCCTCACAAAACTCTTCATTCTGAAAACCTGTTTCTCCTGTGACTATGTAGATATTCTCAATCTTTAGAATATTTAGGGGTGTATATAGATTCTTTTGAATCAGTCTTAACTCAGCCTACATGGAATGAACTTACTTATTGAAGTTTTTATATTTGCTTCTCATTCTTTACAGTGGAAGAGTGCTTGAACTCAGTTTCAACGCTGGTAACACTTTTTCTTTGCTTTGTTACCACCTGAGAAAACAACTCGAAGTTTTTTTTTCCTCATGGTTTCAGAGGTTTCAGTCCACATTTGCTCAGCTTCATCACTGTGGGCCTGTGCTGCGTCAGCATCAGAAAAGAGAGGTTGTAGGAGAGCTGAGCCTGTGTGGGACCAGAAAGCAGAGAGAGAAGGCAGGGAGAACTAGGGCAAGAAGACACAGCCAGAAGTTTTTGCCACCAGTAAGTGTCCTGCTTCCTCTAGCTTAGGGCCCACTTCCTAAAGATTCCAGACTCTCCTAGAATAACACTACCAGCTGAGAAATAAACCTTCACCACACGATCCTGTGGGGGCATTTCATATTCAAACCATAACAGCAAAATACAGCAATTATATTGATTTTTTTCCCCTTTTATCTTTGCAGGATCTACTACAGCTGGCCAACGGCAAAACAAATCAGGAAGTTCATAAAAAGAAATTTGTTCAACATTGCAGTCATTTGTCAAATGCAAACCTTGTTACTACAGACATTGCTTCTTGTTCTCTACAATTCATGACTTAAGTACCAAATACACACCAATTATATATTGCCAAGAATTAAATGATAACAATAGAGACTGATTAGATAAAAATGCCTAATTAATGCATATATTCTTGTGCCTCATACTTCACCACAAATACAATGTAATGTCATTAGTCCAAAACTGCTTTACTTTTGTAAGAACACTGGTTAATTTGTATAAGATATTATATAGCTTTTTATGCTTTAGAGATTAAATAATGTCTGGGTGGGCTAATTTATTTTTGCCACTTCTAGATATAGCACCTCTTATAAAAGTTTGTTGAGGGAGGGTTGGTTATTATTATTATTGTTTTTTTTTTGTCGAATGCCTATCGGCACTGTGGGGTTTATATGTGGATAAATATTCAGGCTGAAAGGAACTTTTTTAACACGTCTTCAATTTGTTTTGGCTTATAGAGAATGATTGTAAGAGTTACTGTTGCATTTTCTGATCTGTGACCTTTAAAATTCCTATTGACGCCAGGCATGGTGGTGGCACATGCCTTTAATCCCAGCACTTGGGAGGCAGAGGCACGCGGATCTCCATGAGTTCAAGGCCAGTCTAGTCTACATAGTGAGTTCCAGGACAGCTGGGGCTACAGGGAGACACCGTCTCAAAAAGACCAAAAACAAAATTCCTGTTGACGTTGTGTTTGCAAGAAAAGAATTGGAAATTTTCTCATTCAGACTAGCTTTTTTTCCCCCCACAAATATCAGGTTAAAGTTGCACTAGCGTCTGCTCTGATTGCTCGTTTGGTACACCGGGCAGGCTTCAGATCCATTTTTAATACAGCGTCGCTATGTCAGCAGTCCTTTTGTACCTGTCTTAACATCTTGCTTTTGTTTCCTACTCCTTTGTACCTATACACACACAACTATAAAGACTGTAATACAGAACAGCAAAGGTTGTTAGGACATTAGAAACTCTTCTTCCTCTCACATCCTTTGCCATTTGCTGCAGTAATGAAATTCTTGTTTCGACTGTCAGCACCTGCTAGTTCTACTACATGAAGAGAATAGAGTGAGGAGTAGCAGGCATACAGGCAGGAAGTGCAGTTCAGCTGCTTGACCTCTCTGCCCCTCTGATAAGCAGCTTGGCAATTAAATTGCTAATATTATTTCATTTGATTTAATTAGATCTTAGAAAACAGTTAACTGAGGCTTTTTGCATGATGAGAGAATTGTATGTAATTAGTCATATGATTGTTCCTGAATGTACAGACAGAATTATATCTGAACGTTGTTTTTTAATTTAGAGATTCTAGGTAGTCCCTGCTTTAAGGGAATATGATAATACATACTATGACAAATGAACTTTATTCTTCTAACATGGTAGAAATTACTTGGTTTTTTTTTTTTTTTCACTGAAATGAAGTGTAGTTCCTGTGTGTCTTGGTTTAGTGATGGCTTCATTTCTACTTAGTTGTGTCTTAATTTTTTGGTAGCACCAAATGAAATATGTTATATGACAGACTTTTAAAATAACTTCTGTATATTATATATATGAAATTGCTTTTATTGAACAACTTATCTTCCACTTTAAATTTATGGAACTATCATGTCAAAATAAATAAGAACAAAGTAGGTTAGAAGAATGTGTTTGAATGTCATTCCTTTTTAAATGGGATATAACCAAAATAGTTCTGAATTGAAGGTGCAGTATTCTAACCAAACATGTTAGGTGGTGATTCACTAATTTGCACACTAAGCAATGCCTGTCTTGACCTTTGTCATTTAAACCTGTTTGTGGTGGCATGGAAATTAGGCCTGTGCATACTTGACTATGTTCATGCACCTAGCCTTCTGGTTTTGGTTTTCTTTTTTGAGTTCTTAGAAAGTGTCCACATAGTCTTTATATTTGTTGAAGTAGCCTATTGTACAGTGAAGAAAAGGTAAGGCTTTTAAACATCTGATTCCTTTAGTGTTTCCTAAAAGCTGTTTGTCCTGGTTTGTTTCTTCATTGCTGCGACGAAACACTCTGACCACTACCAACTTGGGGAGGAAAGGATTTATTTAGCTTACATCTCCCAGGTCACAGTTCATCAGGGAGCCCAAGGTAGGAACTCAGGGCAGGAACCTGGAGGCAGGAGCTGGAGCACAGGCCATGGAGGAACGCTGCTTACTGGCTTGCTGCCCTGGTCCCTGCTCAGCCTGCTTTCTTATGCAACACAGGCCCACCTGCCCAGGGGTGGCACCACCCACAGTGGGCTGGGTCCTCCCACATCACTCACCAAGAAGCTGCCCCTCAAACATGGCCACAGGCCAGTTCAATAGAGGCAATTCCTCAACTGAGGCTCCCTCAACCCAGGTGTGTCAAGTTGACACTAAAGCTATCCAGCACACTATTTCTTAAAACTGAAATCACAACTAGAATTTCTGGTTTCAGTGAAACAGTTACTTCACAAGAGTATGATAGACTGAGTAGCATGTCTTCAGGATTTTACGTAGTCAAATGCAATGAAAAATATTCTCAGGTCTAGTGAGATGGCTCAGTCAGCAAGCACAAAAACCTGAGTTTGGATCCCTGGCATCCAAAAAGCTGCATTCATACAGTGGTACATGTCTGTAGTCCCAATGCTAGGGAAGCAGAGACGGTTGATCGTTGGAGCTTGCTGGCAGCCAGCCTAGCTGAGTTCCAGGTTCATTGAGAAACCCTATATCAGAAAATGGGGTTGAGAGTGATTGAAGGGGTCACACAACATCAGTCTTTGGCCTCCATGTGAAGGTAGATCTTCAGCTGTGTTGCAGCTGAGATGTTTGTTTAGTTGGAGTAGAAATGATAACAAATTGGATACAGTGGCACTTTTCTGTAATTCCAGCTATTTGGAAGGCTAAACCCAAAGGTTCACAAGTCCAGGACTAATCTGGGCAACACAGTGAGACTGTACCTCAAGAATGAAAAATAAAAAAGATAAAAGGATTAAGAGCTACCACTTATTGAGAGCCTATTTACTCTTTGCCAGCATTATGTTAGGCTCCTTATTTCTGGTCCTTAAAACCATCAGAGAAGGTAAGCATTCAATCCTTTACAAGGGAGGAAAAATGCTCGTCTCTATTTTGTTTAGTTTGAGACTCATACCTGCTAAAAGACAGGCTTCAAATCCAGAGCTAACCAAATTTTATGCCTTTGGTCCATGCTTTAAGAGGAACATTTTTCAAGTATTTAGCTTGAGATTCTGATTTTGTTTAGATGGATGTAGATGCTTTTGCACATGGATGTTTGTGCATGTAGAGGCCAGAGGTCCACCTTGAATGTTAGTCCTCAGGAGCCATCCACCTTGTTTTCAGAGGCAGTGTCTGTTACTAGCCTGCAGCTTTTGGAGTAGGTTAGGTCAACTGGCCAGTGAGCCCCAGGGACTCTGCCAGGGCTGGAATTGCAATAATGCATACCACTATGCCTTGCCTTTTTTTTTTTTTTTTCTTTTAATGTGGGTCCAGGTGTTTGTGCTTGCAAGGAAAATACTTTACCTACTGAGCTATCTCCCTGACACATGAGTTTCTGGTTTTTTTTTTAATCTGAAAAATAGAAAATTACTTTGTTCGGTATATGTATAGCACCTAGGAAAATCGGAGACACATGCTCAGTGACTAGCAGTGCCTAAATGCATATATTGGTTGTGTTCCACAAGTTCTTTAGCCATACACTCTCAAAATCTTTCAGAGTCACTGGTAGAATGAGTTTTATAAAGTGCTAAGTGAGCTTACAAAAGCCATCATGTATCTAAGCCACAATTCCCATTGTGTTCCATCAAATCTTCATCCCTCATGATATCCCATTGAAAAAAATTCTGTGAACAAATAAATTTTTCACATGTTAAATACTTTATCTTCCTACCCCCTTGGGGAGTTATAATGTATATTATCATATTAAAGGGTTTCATAAGGGCTGGGGATGTAGTTTAGTAGTAGAACTAATGCTTAGCTTGTTTAAAGCATGGAGTTCAGTTCCTAGAACAAAAACAAAACAAGAGAAAAGGGCTGATAAGAGAAAGCATGGTGTTTCTGCCTACAATACTGTCCTTGGAAAGCTGAGGCAGAAATTCAAGGCTGAGATGCTGCCTCAAACAGAAAAATGTTTGGTAAGTCTTGATTGAAAACTTAGTTAACCTAGTATTTTCCAGATGCATTTCAGAATAACCACCTACCTTCTCCGTCAGATAACATCCCAAATGGGGGCACAGGCTAGGGTTTGTACTGTATGGAAGTTGAACTAAAGAGCAAGAGTATGATTCATACATAATTTGCCAAACATCAGACTTATTTTTGAAAACTTAGGAAAAAACTGTAAAACAGATTTCTGGGATAGAGGGCGTGTGTTTGATGTAGTTGGTTGTAAACCACTGTAGTTAGTGCTTTGGCTGTTACTGTAACGTTTTCCAAAACATCCTGCCCTTGCCATCAACTCTTGCATAGTTGATTGACAGCAGATCTGCTACTCAAGGGAAACCTGTAAACAGATAGCAAGTGTCTGTCTGTGACTAATTCCCTTAAGCCTTGCTTAGTTTGATTTTTAGCTCCTATATTTAAATGAGTGATTGATTGATTGATTGATTGATTGATTCATCAGTCAATCTTTTTGAGACAGGGTCTCCCTGTAGCCCCAGCTGGCCTGGAGCTCACTATGTAGACCAGGCTGGCCTTGAACTAACAGAGATCCACCTGCCTCTGCCTCCCAAGTGCTGGGATTAAAGGCTCACACCACCACTCCCGGCCTTATTATTTTTCAAAGAAAACAAGTGTATGAGTGTATTGCCTACATGTATGTAAGTGTGCAATGCCTGCAGAAGCCAGAAGTGGGTGTCAGATCCCTTGGAACTGGAGTTAGGACAGTTAACTGCCAGGTGAGTGCTTTTTAGTCTCCAGGCTGGGAAAGGAAAGTGTGTCAGGGCCACAACAACATAGAGGTCCCACTCTAGCTTAAAGGTAACTTTTCTAAGAACTTGGAGCACAAGCAGGTACCAACTTCACCCCAAGGAGTGTCTGAGTTTTTCATGGCAAGTCACAAATATAGTCTGTAATCCAGTCTAGAGGGTTGTGTGCCATCCTCTCAATCAAAAAGCAGTTGGAGGGTGGGAGTGACAGTTGACTAAATTACAAAGTTAATTAACCCTAAAATACCTGCTTTAACTTCAAGCACTATAGAGCTAGACTAGAGTTAGCTAAAAATTTTTATATGTTGGAGGAGGACACATTGGTAAGCATAAAGCTGAGGAGAAGTGATTGAGAGGGGGGAAGTGCCCAGAAGGTGCACATGCAGAGGAGGATGGGACAGTTTGCAAGTGTCTTAGCCACCATGTGGGTCTTGGGGATCAAATTCAGGTCAGCAGGCCTTTACTTGCTGAGCTATCTCACATAGCTCAGACTAACTTGGAACTCAGCATTAGCCCAGGCTGAATTCAAATTCCACTGTCTTACCTTTGTATCACTGGCATCATTTTTTAAGTAAAAGGGATTACCAACAGCTTTGCTTGAATAAAAGTGGTTTGGTCAGAAAATGCATTTCTAGGACCGAAGAGATGGCTCAGCAGTTAAGAGCATTGGCTGCTCTGGCAGAGGACCCAGGGTCAATTCCCAGTACCCACATGGCAACTAACAACCGCCTGTAACTCCCATTCCAGGGCTTCGTCTTCTGACTGCTGTGGGCCTTGCACGACATGGGTGCACTTACATATACACAGGCCATACACTCACACATAAAACTATATTTTTTTCAATGTAGACAATTTTTATTGGTGGGCAGTAAGAGTGCAAAAAAGCAACAAACCCAGAGGAATGGAAAAAGAAGTGGGGGTATGGCCCCTCCCAAGCTAGTTGGGTAGGACTCAGCCAGCATCATCTGCACAAGTGACCGGGCAGCAGGGCTCCTCACAATGATGGAAGGGGAGGGCACATGGGTTAACCCTGCTCTCGCTGTTTGGAACTGGTCCACTGTACACCCCAGCCCTTCAAGAAGGCTTTAGAGCTTGGAGCACAGATTTCAGGAGATTGGACAATCCCATCCCTCTGCAAACCCAGCGATCTGTGTCATGCCTCAGTTTCCCTCTGCCCAGTGTTATCAAGGTTTGACTGCCAGGTTCTGTGTGATTCAGACTGAGCCCACTTGATTAGGCTTGTCCCATCATACTATATATTAGCCAGTGTGGGGGCTGCTGGAGCTCTTTGGACTGATGTCAGGACTCAGGTTCGCTTTGCTTAGTGGGGGAACCTACTGGCTTCAGGGCAGAGAGTCTTGATCAGCGACAGAGTCTTGGACCCTGGGACCTGTGTCTTTTCAACAAGCTGCTTTATTTTAAAATTCAGATGGTTTTTATACATCCCAAGGAACTAGCAGTCATGTGGGATATAGCAGTCACATACAAAGATTTAAGGTACAAAGAAACAGGACATTTAGTCTGCTAGTTGGCACCAGAGGATTCTTAAACTTTGACTCAAGGTTGTCAATGCCCATCTGGTAATTTATTGGCCACAATTATTTCTTAGAGCTAAAACCATGGGGAACTTTTAGCTTTTAGCTAATAGTAAACCTAACCTGGCCTATTCTCTTAGCTAAGGATAACTGAGTTATTTGTTCAGGACAAGGAGATGAGCTAAGGGTTGTTGACGAAGATGCTTTCCCACGGAGCAGGGAGCCTGCACTTATGACCAGGCTGCTTTCTCCTGCCAGTCTGGCAGTATTCTTCGAGACGGATTATCAGAGCTACTGTATTCAGTGCCCCTCCCTTTAGCAGAGAATGTAGCCTGGACTTAAAAGTTTTAGGCTCATCTCACCCTAGGGCCTGGCATCCTGGTTTCTTACACACTGACACCCTCTGGGCCAAGGAAATTAACCCAAGGTGTTGCCATTGAGGCTCCCACTCAAGCTGGCTTTGTCTTTTCAAGACAAGTAGCCTCTGTGCCCCACAATCATGCCGGTCCCAAAGTGGTGCAGTGACCA